GGAAGGAATTTATGCCAGGTTAGGCCCCTAAAATACTCCCATATGATCTGCATACTCTCTTTCCTTGTCTGCCAACTGCATGTTGATGCCATAGCAACCTTGGAGGCCAAGTGCTGAAGATGGCAGAGAGCCTACATCAGTCTGGATCCCTAAAGGACTACACAGAAGAGAAGCACTGCCTACCTTATCCATTATCACCAACTGAACTTTACATGATCTATTAGCAAGAGATAAACTTGGATTGTGTTAAGCCATTGAGATACTAGGGTTTACCTGGTATTGCAGCTAACGGTTACTTTAACATAGTGACATCTAATTTGAATAATAAAATTGAATTTCCACTTGGAGTACTTGAAGCAACACTTGTGGGGAAGAGAGTAGAGGGAGAGCATAGCACAGCATGAGATCAAAGATCCCTAGCGTATATTAGTTCATCAGGCAATCAGTCTTCAGGTCGAGGTGTCGTGTGGACAACAGCGGCCTTCCTCTCCCCACAGAACACCCTGAGAACAGAAAGTTAGAGTATCCATATTTTATTACTTACAGAACATTACCTCAAAATATGAACTATCTCAGGGACCCAAACTCTCTGCCAATCACCAGGCTCATATAAACCTTAATATAATCCGTTCCCTGGAAGAAAATATTAACACCTGTTAAAATCCCCTGCACAGAGAACATTTCCCTGGGAGGTGTTCCTGCACTCATTTTGCCAATTTCCAGATGAATAAAACTAAGGTTTCTTTTTGCTTCTTCCCAAAATATAATTTATTATGTAACATTTACAACTTGAAAAAGAATCCGAGATTATTTTCATGAATAATAATTAGAAGAGTAATGTGCCTGACGTGGGCTACAAAGAAGGGCCCCCCTTTTCTCTGCTGGGCGCACAGGACAGTGGGGTTTACTGTCGAACCAGTCATGTGGAGCTTGGTCCGCTCCCCCAGATGCTCCCAGGGCCCCTGGGGTTGCTCTGCTGTTTAGAAGGAGATGGATGTTGAAGCCGTTGGTTTGCTGTATCGTGGCCTTTCTTGCTTTACAGTGATACTTGCAAATACTACCCCTAGGGCAGTAGTTAATGGATTTGTTACTTAGTCTGGGAAGGTGAAGAGAAACTTCCAAAGCTCTGGGTGGTGGGGGGAGGAGCAGTGCTCAGAGGCAGTGCCTGTGTGGGTGCTGACTGGCTCTGCCACTTAGCTCTGGGACTTTGAAATACCAAGAGTCATCACCTATGGTGGGTGGTAGCGGTAGGAGTGGCCCCAGACAAACGTAGGAGAGGAGCAGACCCGGAGGGCCGCTGGTAGGCCAAGGTGAGCCTGGATTCAAAATTCTACAGCTAAGGCTGGTCACAGCTCGACTCATTACTCGTCAGAGCTACTGATCAGTCCCTCCAAACCCTGAGATCAACTCTCCTGGGTGAAGGCACCGCTAGGGTTCTGTGTAGACACACCCAGGACCTCACGAAAGCTAGCTGTGGGCAGCAGAGGTGACAGGAAGTTGGCCATAGCCAGTCCAGTGAGGGTGAGCCCAGTGCAATGAGAGCAGAATTTGGACTCTGACAGATCTGGGTTCAAGTTCTAGTTATGCCACTCTGGTTCTTCTGAACACCCCAGCTAGTCACCACCACCAGGACTGGGCACGGGAAGGCAGTTACAGAAACTGTTAGCAGAACCCAGAGGCGGGGATTATAATGCTCTTGGGCTTTATAATAACTATTTCTCTTTGAGTACTCCTTACTATCTTATTTGCAATTCTGGTACATCTTAAGAAAAAGATTGTGAACTATTCTACAATCAGAACTTAATTCCCTTTCAGTACGGTGGATTTCCCTGGGCTCTGGGTTGGGGAATAGAGTGGCTGGCAGAGGTGAGGCTGTGGAACTGGAGAGAAGTTGTGGAAAAGAGCAATGGGCAATGTTCAGGCTGGGGCTGTGGTGTTGAGGTTGGGGAGAGGGGGAAGTGTTTATGGCCCCCTTCCCTTGCCTTCTCCAAGCCATATCTTTATTACTTTTGTTTGCTCTATTGATATTTCAAAATTTTAAAGTCCTTCTTTGTCCCAGTGTTTTTATTGTCCGAGTGACCCACCTGGTTTGCCTTGGCTTTTGCAGAGATGAAACACTTCCTGTTTTGTTTTCAGAAGTAAAGCTCTCACTGCATTTCCACAGTGAATCCTGCAGCTGCATCCATCCCAAACACAGGGGCCTTGAGTGCAGGCAGCAGGGCCCACCTGCAGATGCTGGGCCTGGCCTGGACCACACAGCTGCTCAGCAGTTCAGTCCTGCTGGGTCCTCCCCACCGTTGAGGGTCCCTGGTGCTGAGAGCTGTGGTGGGGGAGGCCTCTCAGGCAGAATCTGCCCACAACCTCTGCCCTGTTGGAGAGTACAGGGCTGGGACTCATCTGCCCAGGGACTGCCCAACAGCTGGGGAGGGGCAGGGACTACGGAGGGCCAGTGGGCCTTTGGGAATTGTGGTTCTGGGAGTCCCCAGCCTTAGGCTCAATGTAGCCCAGGTCTGGTGTTTTCAAGCTTGTCTCCAGCTGGAGATAATGCTAATATCCCACACTTGCAGCTTTTTCAGGGCACTGGAAGATTGAGACTTTCTCTTCAAATAACAATGAGCATTTGTTCTGAGCCTTTGTGATAAGAAAGGAGAAAGAAAATCATTCTTAGAGGCAGGGGGAGCAGAAAACCATCTCGACAAAAGGCACAAACTTCTCATTATACATTATTATGCTTTCAAAGAAGCATTTGTGCAAGCACATTCTTTTGTTTAAAATAAAGTGGCTCTTAAGTCTTAAGACTATCTCGCCGTGTCTTGTTTTGGGAGGAAAAATCTGATGGGGGGAAGCTGGTTGATGAGCTCTTTTGTCCTGGGGCCCAGCCTGGCAAGCTGCTCCCCTGACATGCAGCGTGATGCTGAGTTTTGCCACAAGCTGTCTTTTGGGGGGAGTGTGGTAGGACAATCCCTTATAAGGGGGGATCCCTACTGATTTAGTAATTACCCCTCACCCCTAAATGAGAAAGCCAGGACAGATGCCCTGTACTAAAATCCTTACAGAATGTGATGTTATAGTGAGTTTCTCGGTATCCTTTGTACAATGCAAATACTTCTTCCATGAGGCGGCTGCAAAGTTAGAATTGCAGGACTCCAAAGATAAATTTCATTGATTCCCTTCCCTTTTTATTAATTAAAAAAGAAAAAAAACCCAAACCCAAAACTTAAACCTCTTAGGAGCAGTATTTAAGATATAAAGACAAAAGAAGCAGGGACTGCCTATATTCTGCAAGTCTAGAGGCTTAGTGAAGAGTCAACACTTATTTAGAGAAAGTGTGTCTGAATGGAGCTCCGGCAGTCCTGGCTGTACTGAATTAGCAGAACCTATGAAGAGGTGAAGAGGTGAGTCTGTGAATTGGGCAGCCGCTGAGCTGGGCGGTTAAATGAACAGGCTCTGGACTATTCTGATCTCAGCAACCCATTCCCCTGGATGACCCTGAGCAAGTTACAGACCCTCTCCAGGCCTCATAGGAAAAATGGAGCTAAGAATAGTAACTCCCCGAGGCGAGGCTATGTATGTAAAGCAAACTAGCCCAGGGCCAGCCTGAAGGGACCTCTGGTTACCCCCGTTATTATGAGGGGCCTGCAGCTGTACCAGTATATAGAAGAGACTTTGCTATCTGCTATCTGTACTATCTCTTTTCCCTTCTCTTCTTCACTTTCCTCTGCTGCTTCCCTGCCTTTCTACCCCCAGTCTTGGCACTTCCCTCTCTCCCAGATCTGAAGCGTCAGTGGAGAGGCCTGCTTCCGGTGAGATGAGGGGCCCCTCTGGGCAGCCTTGCGGGGATGTGCCAGGGTCTGGTCCTCTCTCTGCAGCTGCTTCCAGCCAGTCCTCAGTCTCCCCCTTTCCCACTTCACACCTCCTGGTGCTGTTCCTCCTCTACCCAATAATAAGCTTAGGTCAAAACTGACTCCACTCTCCTCCCGTCGTGTAAACTGAGCCTGTTGGTTTCCCTCTCCCAGATTCCCAGTTCTCCACGCTGAGTCCCTTCCTGCTCCCATCTAGTCTTCCTTATCACTCACTCTGCAGACCTGGCCCTGCTCCTAACTCCTCCTTAGGCAGTCTCCCTGGCCTCTGGCCTCAGCCACCTTGCCCCTCTCTTCCATTTCTATCCTGTCACATCAGCAGAAGTTGTATCTCTCTCTACTGGAACCCTGTGACATTGTCTAATATCTCCTCCTTAAAAAAAAAGCATCCTTTGTGTCATTCATCCTGCAAAAGAAAATCATATCCACAGAAAAGAAAGTCATTTCAGTTGCAGCTTGTTTGCAAAGACCCACACAAACCTCTTGAATCATACAGAAGGTACTCATCGTGAACTTTACACCACTCCACTCCCCCCTGCCCAACTCGGGGGCCTCCCACCTCCCATTCCACAGTTTCCCCATCAGACCTCAGTCTCCAGATCCCCCTTCCCCAACGCGGCGAACTGAAAGCTTAGTTCTATGCTCAGATAAGCTGGTCTGGGAGAGCATGGACCTGGTCATCTTTCATGAGCACGTTAGATTTCTGCCTAGTACAAGACATTGAGAGCACTCAGATGCTGGGGAGGAAGCAGAAAGGTTAGATTCAGGTGTGTCTTACAGTTGTGATGAGCTTTGATTTATCCCTTGTTTTAAAATGGTTTTGGTCAACCAAACCATTAAGGACTTACCCTATCAAGCCCTTAATATTCTCTCAGAATTGAGGTAGGTCTAATTATTTGCTTTGTTCAGCCGAGGGACACGTGTGTGTGTGTTTGCGTGTGTGTCTGTGTTTGGTGGTTGGGTGTGCTTTCTCTTTGTACTAAAACTCTCTCCCTCGCAGCCACATGACAGATGACGACTGCTTTTTGTGCTGCCAAATACATTGCTGTCCACTCAGTGAACACTGTTACCTGACTTCCATTCCAACCCTGGGGGAATCTGGATTCACAGAGGAATAGAACCTTCTTACAAAATCTGGAGTATGATTGCAATTTTACTTTTGAAGCACCCGCTTCCCAGAGGAATAGCTAGTGATTGATGCCACTGTCAGAAACCCAGATGCACACACTCATACATGAGCCAGGAAATTACATTAACAGCTCGCCCAGCAGGCCAGCACTGACTCACCCACTTGCTCCCCTATGGGAGGAGAGGTGATACGAAACCCAGGGCAACAGCAGGGAACAAACAAAGGAAAGGAGTTAGGGGGGACTGGGCTCTCAAATGTCCACCGGGTTTTTTTCCTTCCTCATCTTCTGCCGAGGGCAGCAGCCACAGGCTAAGGTCTGTAGTTATTTTGCTATGTGACCAGGATTGTGGGGAGTTATTTCATTTGTCCTGGAAGTGCACTGTCAGCTTGTTCTCACGGTGCATGTACAAGGGTGCATACAGCTCTACACACATACCTTCGTGCTTAGAGGTCTACATTTTCCTTTGGGGTAGAAGTGACCTACCTAGGCTAAGCTCATGCTAGGGTATTTGTCTCTTTGGAGAGCAAGTTAGTGTTGATTCCAGCAGGATGGGGCGGCAGAGACTGGTTTGTTGCTCAGAAGATGCCTGAAAAATACTGATACCATTAGGGCAGAAGAGTGGAAAGCAGTCCAGCAGGCCTGCTGGCGACTTGTGAGTGTGAGGGGGTTTATCGGTAGCGGCAGGCCAAAGCGTTGACATTCTTGACCACATAAAAGCCCATGGTGACTGGAGGGATGACCAATGTCCGGCCGGCCCGCAGGGGGCGGGGCTTCAGTTCTGGGAGGGTCCCATCGTCCACCATCACTAAGGGCTGGCCATTCAGCTGCACTGACCTACAGTGAGGAAAAACAGCATGGGACTCGTTATTGCCTTGAAAGGAAGCCATCGCAGCAAAGCCTGGGCAGCCTCAGATTGCCCCCGTCTGCTGACCGTGCCCGGCTGGCTATCACTGACTGATACTTACTCTGCCCAGGCTCTCAGCTGGGTGCTTTGATAACACACTCGAACATCCCAGCAATGCTCTGAGGAAGAAACTGTCCTTGCCCCGTTCTACCTAGAGTAAGTACTTAGATGACTTGCCCAAGGCTATACAGCTTGTAGTCCTGGGAGCCAGGATTTGAACACAGGTAGTCTAGTTCCAGAGACATATCATTTATTTTGACAAGTTAAATGTCTCTGAGGCAGAAGCTGAAAAGTGTCTCATGTCTATTTTTTTTGTCTTTAAATCATAATAGCAGCTCAGTTTGACTCTTTTCCACCTAAAGTGTGGAATGATGCATAGGCCTAAGGTGGCTTCAGAAATTCCTATTTAACTGGCATCTTTCATTAGTTTATTTGAGAGATGAGAGAACTGACATTGTGTCACTTGTCTAGGGCAGTTCTGGAGGAGGACAGAGACTTATGTAACAACCTTCCTTTCTCTAATCTGAGCATGAGTTTCCATATCTAATATTTAATGAATGTTTACATTTTAGAGACAAAAAGAAGTAGGTGATAAAGCAGGCATTTGTGATCTCAGTTCACCTGCGTTGCTTGCTTTTATCCTTCCTGTGTATCAGTCACTTTCAGCCCTGAGAAGGACTTAGAGAGCAAAGGGGAACAGCTCATCACCCATCCTAGGCCTGTGGTACAGAATCCAGACAGTCTCCCAGCTGTTTCTGACGGGGGAGTGACTCGGACAGCCAAGTACCCACTGAAGCTCAGTTTTATGGGTCAACAGAAAAGGCCAGAACCAGGCCACTAGCTGGAAATAAGGCTGTAAGTCACTTTGGAAAATCAGCATTACAGTGATGGCCATTTCTGGGCCTTGCCCAGCCTCCAGTGTGATAACATTGTAGTGGTATCATCTGAGCTGTGAAGAGAATAAACTGTTAGAAATTGATAAAGAGGTCTTGGTTTAGTGTTCCTTCTGTGCTATGAATGATAGGTTTAGAGAGAGATCATCAGACCCCTTGCTCAGTAGAGCCATGAACCCCCAGAGATAAGTGCAATGTAAATTGCTCCCAGGGGAGAGCTGGGCACAGAGACAGCTCCAGGCCCGGCCCGACGTGGACCAGTTTGGGCCCAGTCCAGATCTGACAGGCCAGGGGGCAGCCCCCCTCTCTTGTTGGTATGACTGAGGAATGAATGAACAAGCAGGGGGCTCCTGGGTGGAGAGCCAGGCCTGCCTCTGGAAGATGTGGAGGTGTGAGAATTGAGATCTAAAGGTCAATGTTGACCTCACCAAACATGCAAGAACCTTCTGTGACCCTCTCTGGTGAATACAGCATACTCATTGGAGCGGAGGGCAGGGTGAGGAGAGGGGGTTCAGGTGCAAAAAAAGCCAGGACAGGTCTTCACAGTATATTTTATTATTTGGTTCTAGGTTGTGTGAATATCCAACAACCAGACATATGCACTATCAAATACTAGTTCAATAATACTAATTAATCTTTCCAAAGCATACTCAAATTGCTATCACTTGAAAACCTTCAGTGGTCCCTCCTATATATGGAGTTAGGTGCAAGCCCCCCCGCCCCAAGGAGTTAGGCAACACCCCCTTAGATTCAGATGATCCCAGAGTATTGCCATCTCTGGGTTCTAGGAAGTCAAAACAAAGTGTGAGAAGCAAGCCTTTTCATTTCCATACTAATAACGAGTAGTTATTCTGCAACAGGCTCCATTCTGATTTCCTTATTGGTTGGTTAAAAAGCTGACTCAGGTATGGTTGGAACCAGGGAGCATGATCAAGATTGTGGACTGGTCTCTAATTCCAGGAGCCGGCCACTAACTTCCTAGACGGCTCTGGCAAGTCTCTTTACCTCACTTCCCTCAGTTTTGCATCTGTGAGAATATAGGCTATATAGGATGTAGTACGAATGAAATGAAATAAAAAATGTGAAAGTGCTTTGAAAGCATAGTGAGCCATGTAAGTGGGAGATGGTGTTTTTTTTTGTTACTCTTTTCATTGTCATTCTGGGTAGGTAAACTTCTTGGTCCTTGTACTGTGGCACTGACGAGTTTCATGACTCCTTTCCTAAAGCCCTCTCTTCCCTTGGCTCCCATGGTAGCGTTCTCTCTCTCTCTTTCCCTCTCTCTCTCTCTCTGTCTCTCTCTCTCTTTCCCTCCATTTTCCTCCTTCATTTCTGCATGTTGTTTCCTTTTTGGGGGACTGTTCCCTTATAGCTGCCTCTCAGATGCTGGGGTTGCTGGTGCTTGGTCCTGGGACCTCTTTGCTTCCCACACTACATACTCCAGCTGGGTGCTGTTACCAACACCCAGGACTTTAATTGCTATCTGCATGTCGATGCTTCCCAAACCTGCATCTCAAGGCTGAATCCTTCTTCTAACTTATATCTCCACTTGGCTGTTCCACAGGAACTTTATAGTCACGTGTCCAAAGTCAAGATCTTCTCCTCAAACTCTGTCCTTTTCTCTGCCTTCTTATCTTTGGGCTGGTACCACCCTCTATAAGATTACCTAAGCCAGAAAGCTGTGGTCATCTGGGTCTTCTCCCTCAGGTCCCAGGTATGGAGTCGCTAAATCCAACCAATTCCATCTACCTTTAAATATTTTTCAGATCTGCTTCTTTCTCTCCCTTCACTGCTATTATTTTAGTTCAGAGTTTTTCCTGTGATCTATCTCCTTGCCCCTGGCCTTGCCTACCTCTCCTGTGCTGGCCACATTGCTGACAGAGCCATCTGCTGCTGTCCCTGCTTCAAACTCTCCAACAACGCCATCCCTTCCACCTTAATCCAGACGATGAAACCAAGCTCCGGCCACCTCCCCAGTCTCAGATGCTGCCAGTGCCCCTTCCTGCAGCGCTACCCGTGGATCACAGACCTCTGGGGGTGGGCTTGGGCTGAGTAGGCAGTCATTGTAAGGACATCATCAGTATATATACGCATGAACAGGTTGTTCCCAATGAAAAACAGTTAAATTTTGCCCATAAATGAGGTAGATCTTTCTCAAATGAAAATGTCAGTAGATCCTGGTGGGAATAAAATATACCAGTTCATTAAAAAAAAAAAAGTAAATATTTTTCAAATGTGAATGCCTGTAGACACTTGGGATTAATAAGACACAAGTTCATTTAAAACTGCTATAAAATTCCTAATAGATTTCTTGGGAGGAAGGGGGCATCATGTGCTTTTTTCAAGCAAGAGGTTCTTAAAGGGACAAGTACTAGTGTGGGAGGGCTATGACGTTTGTTGCCATTACAGAGGAACCTGGGAACCTGAGCGTACCTTTGGCCCAGCGTGGCCAGATTAAATGGCTTGCAGTTCCACTTTGGGTTGTTGTGTGTGGTGCTCCCTCCTCCTCCTCTGCGGGACTAACTGCCCTGGGGCCCTGCCGAGCCTGCTCTCGTGTTGCCCCCTCTGGGGAACATTCTTTGACCCCTGGGTTAGGAGCCCCAACTCTGCACTCTCGTGTACCCAAAGCTTATAACCACCTCACTGAATTGCAGGGACTTACCCACTCTGCCCCTCGCTGGGCTGTGAGCTTGATGAGGAAGGGCACAGTGCCTTTCACCCCTAAATACTCGGTGCCGAACCAAGTGGCATAGAATTGGGATGGAATGTTTTCTGAACAAGTGAATGGACTTTTGAGGCTCTTTCACATTATTTCTGGTATTCCTAGACTGAGTTTCTCCAGCTCTAAAGAGGCTCCCTGGAGGTTTGCTGAGCGTCTTTACAGATTTCATTAATGTACCAATTACTCTTGCTCTCAGTGGCCCTGGAGATGTTAGATAAGACCTGAATTATCGATGATTCTCACAGTCACTCACTAGATAGCTTATCCCAACTGGACACGTGGCCGTTGATCATTGATAGCGTTTTTTCATCCTTAAAAAAGATCTATATGGCCACCTCTTAGCTAAGCCAACTTGAGTTAATTTTGTGAGACCTTAAGTCCTCATACAACCTTATTTACAAAGTTCCGTCACTGTAACGATGGACAGTGTGCTTTACCACCTCCATTCTAATTTTCCTGCTTAACATTTTTATTTTAATATTTATCCTATTACCCAGTTAAGTCATATCACACTAAATATTACAATTATCTTCCACTCTTATGCACTGAACAACTTGTAAGTTTACAAACATATGTTAATGATAAAAAATCACTGATTACTGAGCACTGTCTATGCAAAAGGCAGGATGCTGTGATTTATTCTATCACATTTAGTCCTCACAACTACCAACTGAGGCAGGTGTTAGCATCCCTACAGGTGAAGACATCAAAGTTTAGAGGGGTCTAAGATTCACCTAAGTCACATAGCTGGTAAGAGGTAGAGCTGAGATTTGCCCTGCAGCCCTTCACCATAGTCCTATTTGGCCTCCCTTGTGACTGCTAAAAGAGCCCTGTGAGGTACATAGGCAAGTATTATTATTATTATTTTTGTAACTTCACTATTGAGATGAGGTCAGAGAGGTTAGGTGGCCTGGGCAAGGTCACAGAGCTAATAGGTGGCTAAGCTCTGTCTTGGATTCAGGCCTCCTGATACCTGTTTCTACTATTTCGTGTTGTTCCCCAATTCCAGATGGCACTCACTAGGATCATGTTTCTTTCTTTGAAAACCTTTCTTATCATATTTTCATCACATTCTGGGACCTCCTTCCTGGCCTGTGACATTTCAAACCAAATGCTAAATGATCCAGTCTATGTTGAGCTATTTCTCTTAATTCCCTAGTTGCTGAGGGCTTTTAAATTATCCAAATATTAGGACAACTGAGTTTTTATCACCATCTGTTTTTTCAAAGTCTGAATTGCTTTGTTCCTAAACTTGGTTTCTTTGCATGCTATTTGAAATGGGATTCATTGTCTCAATTTGGAGTCAAGCCCTCTGCTT